ATATATACTTATTTGAAATTTAAACATAAATTTAAAATGTGTATTAATATAATTAATAATTATAAATTTATTACACATTAACATAAATAATACTTAATAAAAGAAAAATATCTTGTCCAAGACAAAAGCACACTTAAAAGAGTGGTATTGTTTTACTTTTTTTTGGCAAATCTTTTTAATATTAGGCATAATAAAAGACATCTGGAGTATCATAACTGCTTCTGCATGCAGCCTCTGGAAAACTCCATTATATTCTTGAGAGAGAACCAGAGTGAAAAAGGCAAATAACATCTTAGTTTTATTGTGATCTTGAAAGGGTCCAGAGTGTAGGAGACTCCTGGGATCCCTAGCCCACACTTTGAAAACCACTGTTCTGTGTGAATGGTGTCTATTCTGCAACATCCTGTGCCTAATACTATTCTTGTGTATTTACCCGTGTTGTTACCTGTGGGTCTATGTAATTCCCATTAACTGCTACGTTGTATGTAACTCATTTGCTGTTTTCATATTGATATTCATTTAAGATGGATTTAGCTTTTTAACTTTACACAGTGCTGCTGAGAACCTGTGGTATTCTCATGGTTACATTCCAGGTGCAGTGAAAACTGATTCCAAGTTGCATACTCACAGGTGAAATTCTGGATGATATGGTGGTATGTTTATCTTCAACTCTGAGATAGTACCAAGTTACCCTTTAAATTATATCAGCTTATACCAGCGGTTCTCAACCTGTGGGTCGAGACCCTTTGGGGGTCGAACAACCCTTTCACAGGGGTCGCCTAAGACCATCGGAAAACAAATATATTATTACATATTGTTTTTGTGATTAATCACTATGCTTTAATTATGTTCAATTTGTAACAATGAAAATACATCCTGCATATCAGATATTTACATTACGATTCATAACAGTAGCAAAATTACAGTTATGAAGTAGCAACGAAAATAATTTTATGGTTGGGGGTCACCACAACATGAGGAACTGTATTAAAGGGTCGTGGCATTAGGAAGGTTGAGAACCACTGGCTTACACCATTGTAGTAGTGTGTACTTGGATTTACAGACTCAGGTCACCAGCACTTGCTCTGTTGTCAAAGTTCTTTATGTTTTGTAAGGTGTGAAATGGTATCTCGTTATTTTAAATATATCTGACCCTGTGGCTGGCCATTTTGTGTGTGAATTTTTTTGTTTTGAAGTGTAAAAATGAATATAGGCAAATATATCAGTCTTTTTCTGTATGATTTCCTTTATGGATTAGCCTTTTTGGGTCTTAATATTTTAAAACTTGTTTTCTACCTGATCCAGCAACATTTGTTAATTGGCTGGCCCATCTTTCACTATTAATTTGTAATACTACCACAGTAAGACACACACACACACACACACACACACACACATAAATATATGTATGTATTTCTGAGTTCTGAATTCTACTTTGGTTTATTCATTCACTCACTGGTTTATCAAATATAATTACCAGGAATATCCCAGATGCTATTGGTACTGGGATATGTTAGCAAATAAAAGTGGCAAGTGTAATCTGTGTTTGTTAGAATTTTAGGGTTGGTGTGTGTGGTTGGTAGAAAAAAATAAAACTTAGCATATCACTTGGCAAGAAGGGCTACGTGGAAAATGAAAGTAGAGTAAGGAGGATAGGAGTGAGGTGCTGGCTAGGCTGGGTAAAGGGGTTGCCATTTCAGTAGGAGGGGTTAGGGTGCTTTGAAGGAAGTCTCTGGCAAAAGCATTCCAGTCCTGAGGTGGGAGTTGGCGTAATATTATCCAGGAAAAACAAGGTGAGCCTGTGTGGCTTAGACAAAGTGAACAAGGGTTGAGTAGCAGGAGACAAGTAGAGAAGTTGGTTAGGAGCCATCCAGTGTATGGACTTGGAGGCTGTGGTAAGGACATTCATTTTTATTTTCACTTTGAGAAGATTGGAAGCCATTACAACTTTTAAACAGAGGAGTGACATAATCTGATTTAAGATTTTAAGGCTCACACTGGCTACTGTGTTGGAACCTGTGGTGGTGAAGGTGGAAGCAAAGAAACCAGGAAATGGCTGGTGCAGCAATTGAGGTTGGTGCTTGAACTTGGGGGAAGTGGTGGAGGTAACCAGAAGTGTTGTAGTTTTATTTTTTTCTGTCTAATAAGTTTTGATTTTATGTTAGCCAGTGTGTATTGTAGAATTCCAGACTATGTCTTTTCATCAGAGAAGGTTTCTCTTTTTCCGCTGGGCAGACAGGCTGAGGGGACAACACAGTCAGGATCTAGCTAGGCCAGTGGTGCCTTTGTGGTCTTAGTGAGATCACTGGCTTATTTCTGTCATTTTGGTGTGGTCCTTCTGAGCTTTTGATTGAGAGTTCTGAAGAGACTATTTATTGATAATTCATTTCTTCCCCCACAAATATTTGTCCCTTGACATTAATCATATAATAATTGTAGCAAAATTATTAGGAACACCTACCATCTACTAATTTTCTGGAATTTCAGTATTGAGGCAAGTGACTTTTAGTACAGAATCTGTGGCAAACAGACATGGATGTTTAATACTCTCAGGAAAGTAGAATTTGAAAAGTAGCATATTCAGTTAGAAGATCTTAAAATATATAATTTTGCTTTTCCCATGAAAACGTTTTCAGGTAATTTAAATTCGAAAAAATTAGCCACTTACTAATTTAGTCAGGTTGCTCTAAGGACTTTACTGTTTAATTAGACCTTAAGCTCATATGTATATATAATTTTTTGATATTTTCCTAAGCAGTTTAGCATAATAATTAAAAAAAGGAACTTTGAAACGTATCAAATTCTATCCCCTCTGCCACTTACTACTTGTTTCACTTTGCAATCTACTTTCCTCTGTACCTTCGTTTCTTCATCTGTGAAGTGGGAATGATAATAGTATCTCTGTTATAGGATTGCTGTGAGGGACAAACTGGTAAGTCCATAGAGATTACTTAGCATCATGCTTCATACTTAGTAAGCACTCAGTGAATGTTAGGTTTACTACGTTTATTTCCCATTTTTATATTTTAAATATTTGGTTTCCCAAATAAAACAAACATACATTATATATATATATTTGGTTCAGAAGACAGATGCATTATTACATCCTCTACCATCAGAAAGCCATGCTGTTTTAACATAGCTAACAGTTCAGTCATTTCCAGACCTGGATTTTAATTTCTGACTTTGAGTGTTAGTACCTGAGAATTTTGGTTTGTTACCAACTTCTAGAAGCAAAGCAGCTTGAATTAATATACTGCTTTCAAGTAGATGGGAATCAGTAATTTTGATTGCTGTTGTAGGTTTATGAATAAAATTCCTATAAGCATTCATGTACAGATTCTTGTGTAGCCTTAAGTTTTCACTTCACTTAGGTAAATACCTGGAAGTGGGATCGCTGGGCCATGGGGTAGGTGGGGTAAGTGTACATTTAACTTTTTAAGAAACTGCAAAACTTTTCCAAAGTGGCTGTACCACTGGAAATGGCAGTATCATTGCTCCACATCAGTGACAGCACTTGGTATTTTCAGGGTTTTCATTTACTTCAGCAATTCTAATAGGTGTCTAGTGGTATCTTCCTGTGGTTTTAATTTGTATTTCTCTAATGAGTTAATTGCATGATGAGAGACATGAAGCACATACCAACAGAGGAAACTGTAAATGAAAAGGCCTTTTATAATTGTATCTGATGAAAGTCATTGAAAGAAGGCCACTGTGACTGGACTATCATTTTGAAAAGGATACTCCGGCTGCAGCAGGAACTCTGGGAACATGTGGTTATTATGGTGGCCCAGGCGACAGATGATGGTAGTTTGGATTAAGGCAGCGATTTTCAACCAGTATGTTGCAAGAATTTTTAAAACATGCAATACCTGACAATTTAGTCAGGGGCACTGACCTCTTTTCTTTTAGATTGTCAAATAAACAAAGACAATAGCCAACACAACAATGGCTGTCTGGTGTGAATGAATCAAAATATATCTTTTTTTGTCCGATTGGCAAAAAATAATTTTTTTTTCTGGTGTGCTGCAGACTTTTAGTAAGTAGTTTGTGTGTGCCACAACATGAAAAAGGTTGAAAATCACTGTTATAGGCTGAAGTGGGCTTGAAGGATTTTTTTAAAAGAAATATTGATAGGACATAATGATAAACTGGACCTTGGATGTGTGGGATTGAAAGATTAAGAAGACAGTCATGGAAAGGATTATTTTAAGTTTATGGTATTTATAATCATGTGGATTATGTCCTTCACTACTGTATATTTCAGCACCTTACTCAGCACAAGGCATGTATGAAGTAAATATTTGTTGAAAATGAATGAGCATTGTTTTAGTTATGAAAACATTATATTCAACTGCAATATAAATTATGAGTAGAAAATATATTCAGCAGAATTATACCCAATAATTTATTCTTTACATTGAAATTTAAAAGTACACTATACATCCAGTGGGACCTAGACAATAGTTTATCTTTGTACAGGTTTTCCTAAAAACATTTGTGTGACAAGCTAGTATGCAGTACAGTCACTTTATAAGAGAAATAATGATAAAACACTTCAAACTTATACTGAATCTTTACTATTTTTCTTATTATTACAGTGGTTCCCAAATTTGTTCTCCCCATGCAACACATTTTAGCTTTGTCATAAACAATTCTAGCTTTTTACCGATTCAAAAAATTAGAAAGAAAATATTGATATCTAGTTTCCTCAAGTTCCTTCTGCTCTTCTCAATTATGCTGAATTACTAACACACACACACACACACACACACACACACACTCACACTTTACTGTGGAAAATGTTATTGGCACTGCAAACTATTTTGGACAAGTATTCTCCTTAAAGTAGGGAATTGAAACCTGTATAATATTTTTATTCTAAAATCTTAATTCATTTTGTAAAGCATATTTGTCACTAGTAATATCAATGTTTGGATACTAAATGTTAACAGCACAGGCGACAATGCTCACACTGCTTGTATGGATATGCCTTACAGGTGTGTTCTGCTCCCGCTTTTGGGAATGAAGCCTCCCCAGCAAAGCCTGTATCTGCTTGTGGATTCAGTTGATGAAGGCTGTAACGTCACTGAAGGTGAACAGACGTCCACCAGCTTATCTGGGACTGTGGCAGAGCTTTTAGCTGGTCACCATGAGTTCTTTCCACCATGGCTATTGCTTCTCTGTTCTGCCCGAAAACAGAGTAAGGCTGTTACTAAAATGTTTCCTGGTAAGCATGATTCCTTCCTGCTCTCCTCCAGTGGTTTTCATGGATAAACTAGTCCCTGTGGCTCCTGAGAGGAGAGTATGCGGTGGAAAATCTGGTGGTTGCTTCTAGCAGCTCTTTGCAACAGTACTTTTTTAAAGTTGTGTTAAAAATAAGCCAGGGGATGTTTTAAGATCCTTTAATATTACCTTTTTCAATATTCTTTTCCTAATTTTCTTAGTGAAGATTAGGAGTATTTCATGCCATGGTAGCTGCTATAGCTCTATAGAGCTTCATTTATTATGCTGTTATGTCGGTTTGTGATATTCTAACTAGACTAAGCATCTTGAGAGTTGTGAATATGCCTTGTTAAAAATCAGTGGTAGCCCTGGCTGATGTGGCTCAGATGGTTGAGTTGGTTGAACATCGTCCCATGCACCAAAGGGTTGCTGGTATCTTGGTCAGAGCACATGCCCAGGTTTCGAGTTCAATCCCCAGTCAGGAGTGCGTACAAGAGGCAACTGATGGATGTTTCTCTCTCTTCCTCTCCCTCTCTAAAATCATTAAAAACATATTAAAAAAGTAAATCAATGGCAGTTACGAAGAAGGTTTTCCTGGTGTGAGAGGAGAGACAGAGGCAACAGCTTTTTAGGATACCTCTTGAAATATATCCTTTTTAAAAATCCTTTTCTGATATGTGAGTAAAAAATTGATATAATGTATAAAAGTACATGATCAGTTGTTTTTTCTTTTTTAACTTTTTTTCTGACTCGACTGTTCTACTTTTCTTACTATCACAATAAAGTTATGATCCTATTAGATCATGTAAAACATTCTTTGTGCTTTATGAAATAAAAAGAGTGTAAAACAAGGACCACTCACAGGATTTATAGTTGGAAAGAAAGTAATTAAGTTATTGTAGTAGCCATGTCAATTTTAAGTAGTTCTATGCACTTTACAGTATGGTAAAACCTTACTAATTTGTTCAAATGATTTCCTCCCTCTGTGGGTTGTCTCTTAGATTTCCTTGCTGCTAATGGCAGCACTTTTAGTTTCCATGTGTAGTATTTTTTGTTTTTGATAAAAACATAGTTGATAAGTTTGGGGTGAAAATGACAAGAGTGAACACTGATGGAGCACCTCAAGCCATCTCATCATGTAGGCATTGTTTCATCTCACATTATCACAAGAAGAGAGAGACCACATTCACATTACTTTCATTACATTATGTTGTTATAATTGTTCTATTTTATTATTAACTATTGTTGATCATCTTTCTGTGCATAATTTATAAATTAAACTTTATCATAAATATTTATGTATAGGAAAAGACAGTGTATATAGGTTAGGTACTGTACTATTCATGGTCAGGCATCCACAGGAGGTCTGGGGATGTAGCCCCTACAGATAAGGGGGGACTGCTGTAATTCTTTGAAATCTATTATATGTAATCTATGTATTGTCTTTACTAGGATAATTTATCAAACCACAAACTTATTTTCAGCACTATTTATTGACTCCCTTTCATCATACATTAAGTTCAGGTATGTGTGCATATGTGTGTGTCAGTGTGTTATTGATGTATTTCTAAACTATGCTCTTCTGAACTGTCGGCATTTTTATGCCAGTGCAACATTGGTTAAATATTTTTAATTGTTTGGTACAGTTACTTCCTAGACCTCTTTGTCATTAATGTTATTCTAAATTATATATTTTTACCTATATTCCTCCAGACTGAGTTTAATAGCATATTTTCAAAAATTATAACTACCCATGATATAAACCAAAAATATTATTAGATTTGGTTTAAAATTTTAGTTTAGGAAGAGTTTGACATTTAAAATATGCTTTTGTTCCATCTATGAACATAGCTTATATTTTGATTTTTTTCAGCTTTTTTCTTAGATTTTTCCGTATTTCTTATATATATATATATATATATACACCTGTGCACCTTCCTGCTTATTGCTACTGTTGTAAGTTGAAATATGTAGTTTTTAAATTGAGAAGTATGCATTCAATTTAAAACTTGCAGGTGCATAATCTTAGGACAGTAACATAGTAACATTTTTACTATGTTTAAATATGTTTCATCTACTCATATCTAAGCACTTAACATTTTGTGAAGAGAATTTCTTTCCTCATGTATATATTGTACTGACCAATAACATTTTTGTTACCAGCTTTAGATTAATGTAATAAAAAATCCCTTTGGCACCAAGCAGAATCTTGATTAAATATGAAGGTATTATCATAAGCTACTAGCTATTGATACTTGTTATGGGACTAAAAGAAATAGCAGTCCATTTGAAAACATTTTGTGTATAAAAAAATTAAACTTCAAAGATTTTTATACATATTTGTTTTATCTGATTAAAAAAAAATACTCCCTACCAGCATGGTTCAGTGGTTGAGCGTTGACCTATGAACCTGGAGGTCACGGTTTGATTCCTGGTCAGGGCATATGCCTGGGTTGTGTGCTCAATCCTCAGTAGGGGGCGTGCAGGAGGCAGCTGATCAGTGATTTTCTCTCATCATTGATGTTTCTATCTCTCTTTCTCTCTCCCTTCCTCTCTGAAATTAATAAAAAATATATTAAAAAAAAGTTTTAAAAAATACATGCTCCATGTAGGTAATGTTTTAAATGACAACATACTCAAATAGTATATCATTCAGAGATAAAGTAATAATTAGCCACTCTTGACCACTTTGGATTAAATTCTGTGTATCCCTACCTAGTTGAAATCATGCTTTCTGTCAATTCAAATTCTATTTTGTAAATTTAACATTTACAAGCCTTCAGTGTCACTGTATTTTCTTTTCAATAGTTATTTTAATGGATACATAATTTATTAGTGCATCAATATGCCAGAGTTCACTTAACTTTCTTATCATCATGCTGTTAGGTTTTATTATATTTTCCATCCCCACAGATTCGTCAGGATAATAAATAATTGTGCATGTTCCTAAGAAGGGAATTACATGTACAATGGTCAGAAGTTGCACTATAATAAAAGCAATTATTTTCAGTAACTTTAACTCGAGATATTCAAATTTTAGTTAGATATTCTTAGTTATGTATTAATGAACAAATAACTATCATTAATGATGAGCACATTAATTGATTCTATGTAGATTCATATTACTAAGTATATTTAGATTTGGGAGCGCTTCATTTTTTTAATTGCAAGTATTTTATATCTATACTTGATGACATTTTCTCTGCTTTATTTTAGAATTAATCCTATGGCTCTATCCTCTACCCTTCAATCCCCTATCAAGCACTTGCACTTTCTTTCACAACTTTCTCTGCCCATCGCCATCTTAATGTAAAGAGCAAACTTCAATCAGAATCCTGGATCTATGATTTACCAGCTGTGCTACTTTGGGCAATTAACCTGGCCTTTATGAGCTTTAGCTTCTTCATTTTTATTTTCTTTAATTTTTAAAAATATATCTTTTATTGATTCCAGAGAGGAAGGGAGAGGGAGAGAGAGAGAGAAACATCAATGATGAGAGAGAATCTTTGATCGGCTGCAACCTGTATGACCCTACTAGAGATTGAGCCCACAACCCAGGCATGTGCCCTGACTGGGAATCAAACCGTGACCTCCTGATTCACAGGTAGATGCTCAAACACTGAGCCACAACAGCCAGGCAGCTTCTTCAGTTTTAAAGTAGGGAAACTTATCTCACAGGTTTGACATAAAAAGAAGTTAGGTATGGTAAGTACTTGAAGTGCTGCTTTAAAACTAGTTGACTCAGTAATTGTTGCTCTCTCTTATTTGTTTCTCAGGAACTGAACCAGTTATTATGAGGTTTAGCCTGTTTTAATTATCTCAGGTTTCAGTTGTGGTATCTTAGGTTAAGTAGGTTTAATTTACAAATATCCTATTTAATAAAAGAGAAACATGTAAATTGATCATCCTTCCGCTACACTCACCAGCCAATCAGGAATATGCAAATAAACCTGACAAAGATGGTGGGTTAATTTGCATACACAGACGCTGGGCAGAGAGCAGAGCGGGAGAGCCGACGGCTTGGGGGGGACGTAGCTCCCTCAGTTGCTCCCCCCAAACCGCCGGGTGGAGAGCAGAGCAGGAGAGCCGGTGGAGAGTGGAGCGGCTTGGGGAACTTGGCTCACCAAGCCGCCAGATAGAGAGCAGAGAGGGAGAGCTGGCGGCTTGTAGGACTTGGCAGAGTGGGAGGCCATGGGACGGAGACAGAGCAGGAAGGGAAAACCAAGAACGCGGGGAGCACCAGGAATTCTGGGAATAGTAGTTCTGGTGGCAGACGGATCTCATAGACCAGCAGTTCTCAACCTGTGGGTCGAGACCCCTTTGGGGGTCAAACGACCTTTTCACAAGGGTCGCCTAAGACCATCAGAAAACACATATATAATTACATATTGTTTTTGTGATTAGTCACTATGCTTTAATTATGTTCAATTTGTAACAGTGAAAATACATCCTGCATATCAGATATTTACATTACAATTCATAACAGTAGCAAAATTACAGTTATGAAGTAGCAACGAAAATAATTTTATGGTTGGGGGTCACCACAACATGAGGAACTGTATTAAAGGGTCGCGGCATTAGGAAGGTTGAGAACCACTGTGGTGGTTCTCAGAACCCCGAACCATAAAATTATTTTCGTTGCTACTTCATAACTGTAGTTTTGCTACTGTTATGAATCATAATGTAAATATCTGATATGCAGGATATATTTTCAGGGGTCGCGACCCACAGGTTGAGAACCGCTGCTAGAGCAAAGTGAGCCTGGAGCAAGTTACTGTTGCGGTGGGGGATGGAGGGAAAGCAAAGGTGAGAAACATAAGTAAAATCAGAGTTTCTAGGAAAAATTAAAGGGAAGTTATCCTAAAACTTCCAGGAAATCTCCACCAATGAAGCAAAGAAAAAAAAAAATGCCTCTATTATTCTGTGAGCAACAAACCAAACTGAGTTGGGGTCTCAGACAATTCACTCACATGATTGCAAAGACAGACAGAAAGTCCCAGATTGGAGAGGGCCCTGAGGGCTCCCAGATTGGAGAGGGTGGCAGGTTGGGCTGAGGGACCCCCACAACCCCCAGTGCACAAATGTTGTGCACCGGGCCTCTAGTTTATTCATAATAGGTACTGTAATCCTTCATGTAAATCAGTCAATATCTACAAGATCATTTTGGAAACTTGAAAACACTTTATAATGTAAGATAGTTATTATTAAAAAATTTTTATTAGCAACATTCCAGGTGTTTTTCAACTTAAATTGTTTGATGATTTTATAAAGCCAAGAGCAAATGAACACACAGAAAAAAGTTAAGAGGGAAGTTACCTCATGTCCTTGGTAAATGTAGATTGTTATAAATTTCAGTGCACGTTTTAAACTCTCCTTGGAGCAAAAGTGTCTTTGTTATAATTAAAATTACCTTTTAAAATTCTGTTGAAAAGCATCTTATTATCTGTATAATTAATTAATAATCAGTTTTACATATATAATTAGATTTTTATTTTTATGTAGATTTAAAGCTATGCAAATTTATTTCTTCATATGTCATTCTTATTAGGTTGTGTTTTCAATAAATTTACATATTTCATGTAAGTTCTTCAAGGTTAGTATCACAAAACTGAATTTATCAGCTTTCTCTCCAAACCTATTATTTATCCTTTAGTGATGTCTTTTCCATCCTGTTCCATCAAGCCAGAAATTAAGTCAATGTTGACTCCTCCTGTCTTTCCTTCTCCATACTCTCTGAGCTCCGTGCATCTAGCTCTTAGCAATAATTCCCAAACTCATATTTCATTTGTATCTGTTCTGCTGTGGTTGTTCAAGCCCTTAGTGATTCTTATCTAGACTGGATCACAGACTCTTTGAAAAGTCTTGCCTCCATAGTAACAGGTGACCATCTCTAATCTCTGCTCAATTTCTAGAGTTGTTTCTCTTAAGGGAATTCATTTACTCAGCAGTATTTTTCTTCTCTAAGAGGAATACATGTGTTTAATAAATTCCTGTCTGTAAATCAAGATATCATCTCCCTTTAGAAAATGAAATTATGGTTCCCTTTAAAGAACTTAAAAGTGAATTTCAAATAGCTTTAACTAGTATATTATATTGGTTTAAATATATTAAGCTGCTTTATTTTTACAATGCTGAAGTTTTGTTAGCGTAATTTGACCAAATTGCATCTTAAGGTTCAAGCTATTTATTGACAACCTGACATTTAATTTGACAACATGTAAAATAATGTTACTTAAAGGCCATGACAGGTGATATTCTAATTGGATATGAATATTCAGACCCCTAATTAAAGCTAGTATATATTTAGTTATGCAGGTGGAAATATATAAAATTTTTATATGAAAATGATCAGCTGTAGAAGCAAACAAATTGCTTCCTGCACTTTTTTTCCTAATCATTTGATAGTTCAGAAAATCTTAACATGCCTTTATGGATATGTCTGTAAGACTGTCTAATGCTCATCACTGAAGTGGAGAGGAGCACAGAGCCACTACAATATGTCCCATTTGTAAACTGGAAAATGAAATTGTTTCTCTGCTATCAGTGTGTTATAGAAGGAAAAGAAAACTGATCTCTATACTAACAGGTATGGGTTTTCTAGTATTAGTTCATGTACCATTGATTTATTTGCTTATTAGTTTATTATATACTGAAGACATTTTCTTTGAGTGTATGGCAACTTCTATAATTATTTTCAAATGATGACATCTATTTTTTTGTCTCCTTTCTAGGTTTTCGAAAAATAAGTTTAGATGACCTTCGGAAGGCATATATTGTTAAGGATGTGCAACAGTACATTCTCCATCGTTTAGATCAAGAAGAAGCTTTGCGACAACACCTCACAAAAGAAACTGCAGAAATGTTAAATCAACTGCACATTAAAAGCAGCGGGTGCTTTCTTTATCTAGAACGGGTTCTAGATGGAGTTGTAGAAAATTTTATTATGTTACGAGAGATCCGTGACATCCCAGGAACTCTAAATGGTCTCTATCTCTGGCTGTGCCAAAGACTTTTTGTGAGAAAGCAGTTTGCAAAGGTTCAACCTATTTTGAATGTGATTCTTGCTGCCTGCCGACCTTTGACCATAACGGAATTATATCATGCAGTATGGACCAAAAATATGTCATTAACCTTGGAAGACTTTCAACGCAAGTTAGACGTGCTCTCCAAACTCCTTGTTGATGGACTAGGAAATACTAAAATCCTATTTCACTACAGCTTTGCAGAGTGGCTTCTGGACGTGAAACACTGCACACAGAAGTACTTATGCAATGCAGCAGAAGGACACAGAATGCTGGCTATGAGTTATACCTGCCAAGCCAAGAATCTAACACCATTGGAAGCACAAGAATTTGCATTGCACTTAATTAATTCAAACTTACAGTTGGAGACAGCTGAGTTAGCTCTGTGGATGATATGGAATGGTACACCTGTCAGAGACTCCCTGTCAACCTTAATACCCAAGGAACAAGAAGTGTTACAGCTGTTGGTTAAAGCTGGTGCTCATGTGAACAGTGAAGACGATCGCACATCATGCATAGTCCGTCAAGCCTTAGAAAGAGAGGATTCCATTCGGACCTTACTAGATAATGGAGCTTCAGTAAATCAGTGTGATTCAAATGGGAGAACATTATTGGCTAATGCTGCATACAGTGGCAACCTTGATGTGGTGAATTTACTTGTCTCTAGGGGAGCAGATTTAGAGATAGAAGATGCTCATGGGCACACACCACTTACCCTGGCTGCTAGACAAGGACATACCAAGGTGGTTAATTGTTTGATTGGGTGTGGAGCAAACATTAATCATACTGATCAGGATGGCTGGACAGCATTAAGATCTGCTGCTTGGGGTGGTCACACAGAGGTGGTTTCTGCGCTACTTTATGCTGGTGTAAAAGTGGATTGTGCGGATGCTGACAGCCGAACAGCTTTGAGAGCAGCAGCGTGGGGAGGACACGAGGATATTGTACTGAATTTGCTACAACATGGTGCTGAAGTCAACAAAGCTGATAATGAAGGTAGGACTGCTTTGATAGCAGCAGCCTACATGGGACATAGAGAGATTGTGGAACACCTTCTGGACCACGGAGCAGAAGTGAATCATGAGGATGTTGATGGCAGGACTGCACTCTCTGTAGCTGCACTTTGTGTGCCTGCAAGTAAAGGACACGCGTCAGTTGTCAGCCTTTTAATTGATCGAGGTGCTGAAGTAGATCATTGTGATAAAGATGGCATGACCCCACTGCTGGTGGCTGCCTATGAAGGACACGTCGATGTGGTTGACTTGCTTCTCGAGGGGGGAGCAGATGTAGACCACACAGATAACAATGGCCGTACACCCCTCTTAGCAGCTGCTTCTATGGGCCATGCTTCAGTCGTGAACACACTTTTGTTTTGGGGTGCAGCTGTGGATAGCATTGATAGTGAAGGTAGGACAGTCCTCAGCATAGCCTCAGCCCAAGGCAATGTTGAGGTGGTACGTACTCTACTGGATAGAGGGTTAGATGAAAATCACAGAGATGATGCTGGATGGACACCTTTGCACATGGCAGCTTTTGAAGGTCACAGATTAATATGTGAAGCACTTATTGAACAAGGTGCTAGAACAAATGAGATTGATAATGATGGACGAATACCTTTCATATTAGCTTCGCAAGAGGGTCATTATGATTGTGTTCAGATATTACTGGAAAATAAATCCAACATTGATCAAAGAGGTTATGATGGTAGAAATGCACTGCGGGTTGCTGCACTAGAAGGACACAGGGACATTGTTGAACTACTTTTTAGCCATGGAGCTGACGTTAATTACAAAGATGCTGATGGTAGGCCTACCCTTTATATTTTGGCCTTAGAAAACCAACTTACAATGGCTGAGTATTTTTTAGAAAATGGTGCAAATGTAGAAGCAAGTGATGCAGAAGGAAGGACAGCACTTCATGTTTCCTGCTGGCAAGGCCATTTGGACATGGTGCAGGTTCTGATAACCTACCATGCTGACATCAATGCCGCAGACAACGAAAAGCGATCTGCCTTGCAGTCTGCAGCGTGGCAGGGCCACGTGAAAGTGGTGCAGCTTCTGATAGAGCATGGAGCTGTTGTTGACCACACTTGTAATCAAGGTGCCACTGCCCTCTGCATTGCAGCCCAGGAAGGGCACATCGATGTTGTGCAGGTTCTCCTAGAGCACGGTGCTGACCCCAACCACGCAGATCAATTCGGACGCACTGCTATGCGCGTGGCAGCTAAAAACGGACACTCTCAGATAATTAAATTATTAGAAAAATATGGTGCATCTAGTTTGAACGGCTGTTCCCCCTCTCCTGTTCACACAATGGAGCAGAAGCCTCTACAATCCGTGTCTTCAAAAATGCAGTCGTTAACAATTAAATCAAATAGCTCCGGCAGTACTGGCGGAGGGGACATGCAGCCTTCACTGCGTGGTTTACCGAATGGGCCAGCGCATGCCTTCAGTTCTCCTTCAGAATCTCCAGACTCTACAGTCGATCGTCAGAAGTCATCCTTGTCCAATAATTCTCTGAAAAGCTCAAAAAATTCATCTTTGAGAACTACTTCGTCTACAGCAACGGCTCAAACAGTGCCAATTGATAGCTTTCACAACCTGTCGTTTACTGAGCAGATCCAGCAGCATTCGCTGCCCCGCAGTAGAAGTCGACAGTCCATTGTGTCCCCGTCTTCCACAACACAGTCCTTGGGACAGAGCCATAACTCGCCCTCGAGTGAATTTGAGTGGAGTCAAGTCAAGCCCAGTTTGAAGTCAACGAAAACAAATAAAGGGGGGAAATCAGAAAATTCCAGCAAATCTGGGTCAGCTGGGAAAAAGGCTAAACAAAATAATTCCTCACAGCCAAAGGTTTTAGAATATGAAATGACTCAGTTTGATTCAAGAGGGCCTGCAGCCAAACCCGGGTCCAGCACACCCCCTAAACAAATACCCGCAGAATCTCAGTGCAAAATTATGATACCGTCTGCTCAGCAAGAAGTTGGTCGATCTCAGCAGCAGTTTCTCATTCACCAACAAAGTGAACAGAAGAAGAGAAATGGAATAATGACAAACCCAAATTACCATCTTCAGAGCAACCAGGTGTTTCTTGGTAGGGTTTCCGTCCCAAGAACAATACAAGACAGAGGGCATCAGGAAGTGTTGGAAGGGTACCCTTCGTCAGAGACGGAATTGAGCCTTAAACAAGCCCTGAAGCTTCAGATCGACGGTTCTGACCCTAGTTTCAACTATAAGAAGGAGACACCATTATAACAGGTAACATTTCATCAACATAAAGAATAAAATGCCAAAAGTCTGGTTCCCTTTACTTAGGAATTTGAACTTTCCCAGCTCGAGCACTCCCTTTCCTACTTTTATTGTCCCAAGTACTCACTATTTCACATACTTTACATGTTTTATTTATTATTGTGTTTATTATTTGTTTCCTTCCAACTTAAATGTAACCTTTGTGAAGGTAGGGATTGTTACCTGTTTCACTGCTGTATTCCATGCATTTGGGATACTGCTTGGACTTACAGTAGTTTCTCAGTAAAAAAATGTGTTGAATAAGTGAATGAATAAATGAATGAATGTACTATTTATGGATCTCAGATTAAGAATTCCTTATACAGTCATTTTCCTTCTTAAAAAATTTATTTGATGGTAACAGAGGGAGGGGCTATTTCTGTAATACCCCTTGGTTTTAATAAAACAGTGTATGTAGTGCTTAGTAGATAGATAGTAAATATTAATTTTCCAACTTTTCACCCAAGGAGTCAAAGATTTAATCAGCAAAAGGTAATTTTTAGTAGGACAAATTCTTAAGACTCTTCGAGTAAAGTATACACACACCAAGAATAGGTGTGAAAAGAAGATTAATGGCTATATTGGCAAGAGAGTTTTTAGTTCCCACTATATTTAGACATAAGAATTAAATGTTTAAACCTCAAAAATAAATTCATATTTATTAAATAAAAACATTTTTTTCTTCCCTCCTCAGTGGATGATTCATTAATTATATAAGGGAAGTTAATGGGAAAATAGATAACATGATTTTATATTATCGATACTTTTTTAAAAACACATTTTTGATATTGGAGATAGATCAACAATTTCATTAGGAATATTTCCCTACTTTTTTTAAGGTATGTTTATCCCAGTTTACTTAATTATTTTTATCCTCTATTGTACTCGTTCCTTTTAGAAAATGGAAATCTCTTTCTTATGCTTTTGTCTTTGGAGATACAGTATTTTAGGTGACACATTATTATAAATTTTGCTATACCTTCTAATAATAAACACTTCCATGTGACTCTAGGAACAACTGATCAAATCTCATTAAAAAACAACATGTACAAAGTAGTTAATTCATTCCCCATTGTTGTTTATTTTAAAAATACCTAATTCTGATAGTGTTGCTCTCCAACTCTCATGATATCTTTTGTAAAGGCAAAGTATATTAAACAGCAAAACACATGAATTAAGGTAAACATTTTGTGGAATCTTTAAAAGTGGTTTATAAGTTAAATAATGAATCTCAGATAATCTACTTTTTTCTTTACATGGTAAGTAAATATAGTTAAATAATAAGTATAATATAGAAATTAATATATTTTTCTTAACTTTTGCATTAGTTCCCTGTTCTGTGAGACAGAAGACATTGTGATTGGAGTGGTTCTGCAGCTACTGGATGGAAACATAACATGCCTGTTGATTGCTGAAAAAAAAAGAATGTGATATTTGCAGTTCAGTTACCTTAATTACTGTAATGTGCCTAAATAGCAAGGCTGCCTTCTCAATGTAACCCTCTGTGCTTAAAAATGTCATTTAGTGTGCTTTGTATTCACTACACAAGAATAAGCACTTTTTTTTTAAATGCAAGTATATACTGCAGTTCCCTGATAAAAGCTGAAAAATTTTTAAGTATTTTAAGTTAAGATTTGATAAATGTGCATGTGCCATGATCAAATATATATGAAAAGGCAGTGTCCTTGTATTTATTTTTTTTTCTTTTTGTGGCAAACAAAAGTTAAGCCTACTGTTTCAGTCACATTTGCATTGCTGTAGTGTGTGGCTTGTTTCCTGTATCTTTAAAAATGTCACTCATTAAAATAAATCATGCAACTATTTATACTCACTACACCTTCAGCATTGGTTGAAAATGGACTTCTATTTAATGCCATTGAGGTGAAGAAAAATGGTTTCTTCGTAGATTTAAAAATAATTTCTAGTATTTTAGGGAGCTGCTCTAAGTAGTTTAAATTTGGATTTCCCAGTAGAATCCTCCTAATTTCTGGCTACATGTGTCAAAAAGAAAAAAAAAAGACTATAGGCAGAACAAAGTTCTGTTTCATTCAATGGGGTACAATTTCACCTTCCATTCACTCGTCATTCCACCTCCAAGAAGACAGACTGTCATTCTTGAGGCATGGAACGTCTCAGGACGCAGCCACGTGTACGTGGGAGGAGATATGCCTGTCTCTCTGAGGGTAGATTTTTGATCCCTGAGCAATTCATTGACTACCCTTATCTCTACCGTCCAGTTGAATCAAATACAATTTACCAGTGAATTTGAATACTGGCTTCCCTCTCAGTTGCCTCTGTTTTGTAAATCACTGCATGATGGAGATAGCCCCACTCAAAGTCATTTGGATCAATTTTAGTGGTTAGTTTGATGAATATTCTGGAATGTAATAAGTGCTGTCCTTCAGAGATGATACCACTAACCTGTCAGTCATAACACGTGTATTTTTTATTAGTATTTGATAAACAATTTTTTGTCCACATACTCTTTCCTGCTTTCTTCTTTGAACAATTGTTTGTGGGATGACTGAATGCTATGGTGAAGGGTGAGGTCTGTGACCAAGGAAAACAAAGTTGACCGGCTCAGACGAGCATGCGACCCACAGCCGTGGCCTAGATGGACTCTCACCCAGTGGGGCAGTTGAGTGGGTGGGTGTATGTCTGGAAAGGTTCCAATGTACTTAAGCCAAGGGTGTGGGTTTGATATTTAAATAAGCCCTGAAAAATCTCACAAAATCCAGAAGTTCTGTTCTTTCCATATACTGTTGATAAGGAGGAGGAATGAGGAAAGAGAATTTGGAGATTTAGCACAAAACTTACTATTGGAAAAGAATATTTAGAAAATGTCTTAGTAACAGAGGTCAGTAATGTCATCTTAAATGAAGGATACATATGTAGTGCATTGTTCACAGAAACAAACGTGGAATTGGTTGTGATAAATGTTTCACTTGGATCTTTGTGTAAGGCTTTTCATTTTGCTTTTGTTTTTTAAAGTCAGCAACACTCATTTTGTTTATGTCATCAAGTCATAATCAGGAGTAGGAAATGCATTAATAAGTTCACTCGCTATTAAGGTGACATGGCAATATGGATAACTCGAATGTGAATGTTTCAAGTATTGAATTTTTGTCCCTATGGGACATTTATTAAATACACTTAATAGGACTCTTGCAAAGTAGCCTTAGAAGTGTTAATGATTCTATTAATAAATATGAATATACACTATTATGAGAACCATTCTTATTCATATCTCAAATACAGTACATTTACATTACTGTAGAAGATGAAGCTCTAATGTTTTATTAGGTGTATTTTTTTTAGAAAGAGAACCCTGAAAGCTGCCAGTTTTTCTATTAACCTTGAATTATTGGAATTGTATTTATTTAATTTTATTGTTTTTTTGTTTTGTTTTTTACAAAAATGCACCTTGTGGCCAAAGGGCAAAGATATGACTCATTACATAAGGGATTTATGTTTTTCAAAGAGCTAAATGTTTTCATGTCCACATTATATTACCACTTGAAACAGTTGGTAGGAAGAGAACCTGTTGGAAAAAATAAGATGTTCAATATGATGTTTTTATATTATGTTTGGAATAGGACAAAAACGGCCTTCAGTCAGACTGAGGATGAGAGGGTGCTGAGATGCCTGACTGCTGATTTCTTTCTGTACTGATTTAATACTATGATTGAAGATGGCTTTTAATCCTTAAGAAGAGTAAAAATAGTCCCCCAAATATAACTCCTAAATAGCTATTTTAAGAATTAAAATGTTTAAATTTTGTAAATCACTTGATGCCACTACACACCTATGATGCCATGTGCTTATAACATTTTTATAATATTCCATCCGTGTCCATCCCTAAAAGTCATGAGGTGGTAAAAAGGGAAGTGATAAAAAAAAAATACAGTACTGAAGAATGAAAACCTGAATGCTTGTAGGAAAGGTTTGACCCGAACTCTGTGTACTGTGTAGCACACAGTATCTTTTGTCCCTTATCCTTGCCCCTCTCCTACTGGAATCTTCACCAAAATTAATTCCTACTTAAAAAACAGGAGTAAATACTTTTCTCAATATTGTCTGGCTATGCAAATGTTTGTTTTCCTTCATGTCTCCATTTACATGTCTCAGCAAATATAGTTGCAAACAAATACTTTTTTTTTCCATTGGTTTGGGGTATGTAAATAGCCTAAAATGTACATTGAACTTCACAATGTAAAAGTTTTATTTTATTCCTTGTATTATATTAAGCAAAAATCCCTATGTATATGAAAGTGCATAATAAATATATTTGCTTTACAGAGGATATCTTGTTTTAATTTTATTTTTGAACCAATAGAACATGCATGACATGTTTACAGTAAAACAACTGTTTGTTTTACATACTGACCAAATGAATTTGGAACTATTTTCAAAAAATGAGACACGATTACTTTCCAAAGGAAGGCAGAGAAAAAGATCTAGCCTATAAATCTTCCTAAAAGCTTCTGTAAGGACTTAATGTTTGCTCCTCCTGACTTACACAATGTCTCACCATGTTAGGTGTCAGGCCCCTGAGATTGCACTAATCCAATAAATTGTGTGCATGTATGCTCCTTGACCATCAGAGCATTATGGCCATCTTGCATTTGATATTTTGGAGTTTTATTGTAAACATGGTCATTCATTTTCCAAATAAATTTCTGTGTATTCTTCACTCAGTAAAACTGAGTCACTTCTTCACAACCTTCTGCTTCCCCAACCAGAGCACAATGGTGTGTGTGTAAGTGTGTGTGTGTGTTCTATTACTCCTAAGAGAGGTTTCTAAAAAGGCCAGCAAGGTCTTTTTTTGTTAGGTAATTTTACAATAATTACAGGGTTCAGTAACTACCTTATATTCTTTATAAGTTTGTTGAATTAATAGAAACCTTATTCTAAATGATTTAATGTTTACACAAATGGGTGATATACATAGAAAAATTTAAAACAGACTGGTTGACTAAATAAGGAATTTTCTAGCTGGTGGTCCAAAAAAATGCACTGAGAACTTGGCAATGACTAATGTTTTCACTCCTTCGCTCTAGTACTTGGAAGGATTCCAGCTAATAGTACTGAGATACACACTGAAGGCTTAGATTCCTAAATTTCTGGGAAAATTTCAGTCATCATGCAAATATATGCCACTAATCTTATTTTCAGGAGAAGGCCTCTGCCTATTTTGCTATTATAATAAAATTAAAATTATCCAAATTAAAATGGAGTCATTTGAAATTTATTGTATGTTTAGGTTTCTACTCTTATTTTTACTTTTATTTTTCAATTACAGTTGACATTCACTATTATTTTGTATTAGTTTCAGGTGTACAGCATAGCAGTTAGACAATCATCTACTTTACAAAGTGATCCCACCAATATTTCAAGTACACACCTGACACTACAGTTATTACAATACTAGAGGCCCAGTGCACGAAATTTAGGCATGGGTAGGGTCCCTAGGCCTGGTCAGCGATCAGGGCCAATCGGCCTTCCAGCTGCCGGCCAAGGCATTCCTTTGTCCTGCGCCACCCTTTGATGGTCAGCGCATATCATAGCAAGCGATCAAACTCCCAGTAGAACTCCCAAGGGGACACTTTGCATATTAGCCTTTTATATATATACTAGAGGCCCGGTGCACAACAATTTGTGCACTCGGGGAAGGGGGGGGGGGTCCCTCAGGCCGGCCTGTGCCCTCTCGCAGTCTGGGACCCCACAGGGGATGTCCGGGTTGTTTCAGTCCGCCTCCCTCAGCCGCGGGCCCAGGTTGTTCGTTCCCGCCTCCCTCAGCCACCCAGCCGGCTTGATCGTTCCCGCCTCCCTCAGCCGCGGGCCCAGGTTGTTCGTTCCCGCCTCCCTCAGCTGCCCGGCCCAGGTCGTTCGTTCCTGCCTCCCTCAGCCCGGGCTCAGGTTGTTCGTTCCCGCCTCCCTCAGCCCGGGCTCAGGTTGTTCGTTCCCGCCTCCCTCAGCCCGGGCTCAGGTCGTTCGTTCCCGCCTCCCTCAGCCGCCTGGCCCAGGTTGTTCGTTCCCGCCTCCCTCAGCTGCCCAGCCGGCTTGATCGTTCCCACCTCCCTCAGCTGCCGGCCCAGGTTGTTCGTTCCCGCCTCCCTCAGCCCGGGCTCAGGTCGTTCGTTCCTGCCTCCCTCAGCCGCCTGGCCCAGGTTGTTCGTTCCCGCCTCCCTCAGCTGCCCAGCCGGCTTGATCGTTCCCGCCTCACTCAGCCGCCTGGCTGGCTTGTTTTGCTCCCACCTCCGCCGCCTAGCTTGTTTTCGGCTGCCTGGCTTGCTACGCTCCCAGCGGATATATGCAAATTAACCGCCATCTTGGCTGACAGTTAATTTGCATATACTCACTGATTAGCCAATGAAAAGGGTAGCGGTCGTACGCTAATTACCATGTTTCTCTTTTATTAGTGTAGATAGATTATTGACCATTTTCCCTATGCTGTACTTTACATCCCTGTGACTATTATTGTGATTATGTTGATATATTAGAGGCCCAGTGCATGAATTTGTGCACCCGTGGGGTCCGGCTGGCCCGGCCCCAATCGGTGGATCAGGGCTGGGCCTGTCGGGAGGAGGAGATGGCGGGAGGTTGGCTGGCCGGCCCACCCCAATCAGGGCCCAATCAGGGCTGGGCCGGCTGAGGGGAGGGGCTGAGGGCCGATCAGGGTGGGGGGCCCATTGGGGGTGGGGCCGGCCAGCCAACCCGATCGGCCCACAGCCCCTCCCCCCAGCCAGCCCCATCCTGATTGTCCCCCCCTAATCGGGCAGTTTGCTGGCCGCAGTGGGTGTCATAGCAACCGGTCATTCTGGCATTTGGGTCACTGGCTTTTTATATATATAGATTTGTATTTCGTAAACCCTTTACCTTTTTCACCCAGCCACCCCACCCCCTCCCATATGGCAGCCATCAGTCTGTCGTTCTCTGTATGTGATTTGGTTTCTGTTTTGTTTACTCCATTATCTTATTCTTTAGATTCCACATATAAGTGGACTCAGATGGCATGTGTCTTTCCCTTTCTGACTGATTTAACTTAGCATAATAACCTCCAGGTCCATCCATGCTGTCACAAATGATAAGATTTCATTCTTTTTTATGCCGAGTAATGTTCCATTGTATATATGTACCACAATTTTTACCCACCCATCAACAATTGGTGTTGCACAACTCAACACCAAAATTAATCCAATTAAAAAGTAGGCAGAGAACCTAAATAGATACTTCTCCAAAGAGGACATACAGATGGCCAAGAGGTATGAAAATATGCTCAATGTCATTAATCATCAGAGAAATGTAAATTAAAACACAATGAGGTATCACCTCCTACCTGTCAGAATGGTTATCATAAAAAAAAAAAATCAACAACTAGTATCAGTGAGGATGTGGAGAAAAGGGAACCCTCCTGCACTGCTAGTGGGAATACAGACTGGTACAATATTGAGGGTCCTCAAAAATGAAAAATGGAACTTCCTATGATCCAGCAATTCCATTTCTGGGTATATATCTGAAGAAACCCAAAACACTAATTTGAAAGAATGTATGCACCCCTATGTTTGTTGCAGCATTATTTACAAATAGAGGCCTGGTGCACAAAACTCGTGCATGGGTAGGGTCCCTAGGCCTGGCAGGCGATCAGGGCCGATCTGTGGGGCGACTGGCAGGGTGATAGGGGGGCCCCCCGCTGGCACCCACCTTGGCTGGCCTGGGGCCTACGGGCTGGGGGCAGCTCTTGCATTGAGCATCTGTCCCCTAGTGGTCAGTGTGTGTCATAGCAACTGGTCGTTCCGCTATTCAGTCGATTTGCATATTAGGCTTTTATTATATAGGATAGCTAAGGTAGGCTTTTACTCTTAAATATGCACTGTCATTACCACATTGCAAAATTTAGCTAAGTTCTGAGAACCATATTCTTTAAAAAATGTATCTGTAACATTTAGAAGAAGCCCCCTAAGTATTTATAGCTTTTACTTATTCTTGGTTTACATGTGTGAAAATTGATATAATGGTATGTCCCTAAAGAATTGATGCTATATTTTTAATGAGTGTCTGGTACTCTGATTTTGTTTATAAACTTATGGCGAACTATAAGGTATATACAGGAAAAGACACAAATCCTAAGCTACTGTCCTATAAATTTTTACAAGTTGAACATACCTGTCTAACTGTCCACCCTGATTAAGATGTGGGCCATAACCACACTCAGAAACCTCCCTTACCCTTTGCCAGACATTACCCCTAACAAAGAAAACCCCTATTTTAATTTTTATCACCATAGATCAGTATTAACTACTAGTATTTTAAACTTCATATAAATGGAATCAAACAATATGTCCCTTTTGTGCTGGTTTCCTTAACATTATTTTGTGTAACAATGATTTGCCCTTTTCCACTGCTATGTAGTATTATTTGTCCTTTTTAAATTGTATTGCATGGCTTTGTGTGAATACTTTTAAAAATACATTTTACTACAAGTGGACATTAGGATTGTTTCCAGGTTTTGGCTCTTAATACTGCAGGCAATAACATTTTTGTACATGTTTTTGGTGCCCATAGTACATATTTATTTTTAACTAGAGGCTCAGTGCACAAAATTCATGCACAGGTGTGGTCCCTAGGCCTGGCTGGCGATCGAAGCATGAGCGTCTGGCATGAAAAGGCAGGTCCCAGCTGACCTCTGGGCCCTGGGAAGCACCTGGGCCCTAGGCCCCCACGCACCCCCTTCTGAGTCACAGCGCCTGAATCCCCACATGGAGATGTGGTGAGTGTGGCTGGATGTTGCGGGCTGGGGCACAGCGTGGGCCTCTAGGCTGCCCAGCAGCGCTGCACAGAAGCCAGGCGGGCAGTACACTCTCTCTTGGCCAGCCTTGCAGACAGGCTCCTGTGCGAGCCCATGGGGAGCCCAACCAGCCCTTGCGGTCCTGGCGGCTGCAGCCTGGCTCACCTGGAAGAGGCAGCATGGGTGTGGGGCGGCCTCCTCGTGGCGCCCGGCACCTGAGCACAGGGGCTTCCCTGGCGCGTGAGCCCTGGCGTCCCGTGGGAGGGTAACAGGGGGAGTGAGAGTGAGCTCGGCAGACACCCCACATTCTTACCGCACCTCCGGTCCCATCACCCCTGCCCCCAGGTAGCCAGCAAGAGGTGCAGCCTTTCCGCCATGGCACCACGGGAGGTTGGTCACTGCCATCCACCCCCAGTTCCCCGTCCCAGCCCAAGGCCCGGCCCCATTCAGGTGATCAGGGCCTTCGGCCACTGGTCGCCATCTGCAGGGTGATCGGTCAGGGCCGGGCCCCCC